CCGCCCTTCACTACCCAAAGGCGTCTCAGAGCGGCTTACAGACTCCTTTCCCTTCCCCTCCCCACAACAGACACCCTGTGAGGTAAAAGAAGAAGAAGAAGAAGAGACTGGATTTGTACCCCGCCCTACACTTGGAGTCTCAGAGCGGCTTTCAAACTTCTTTCCCTTCCCCTTCTCACGACAGACACCCTGTGAGGCAGGTGGGGCTGACAGAGCTCTGAGAGAACTTGTGACTGACCCAAGGTCACACCAGCAGCTGCAAGTGGAGGAGTGAGGAATCAAACCTGGTTCTCCCAGATCAGAGTCTGCACACTTAACCACTACACCAAACAGGGCTCTCATTTGGGAGTTCCAGGATCAAATCCCCACTTGGGTCAGGGGAGCTCATTGGGTGACCTCGGGCAGTCGCGCTCTCTCAGCCTCGCCTACCTCACAGGGCTGTTGTGAAGATAAAATGGAGGAGAGGGAAAGTTATGTAAGCCACGTTGTGTCCAGTGTTCCCTTTAAGCTGAGTTCGTGTGAACCGGCTCACAGTTGTTTTCACCTCCGGCTCATACCTTTCTGCCTCAGCTCAGGAAGGAGGGCTCCAGAGAGCAAACTAATTTATGCAGCAGCCAAACCGCTCGCTCATGACTTGAATGCCAGCAGCTCACAAAGTGGAATTTTTGCTCACAGGACTCCACAGTTTAGAGGGAGCATTTCTTGGGTCCCCACTGGGGAGAAAGGGGGGGGGATATAAGTGTTGTGGAAGGACCCCCCCCCGTTTTAAAAGTGTGGGTTTTTTTCTTCTTCCCTCTGGAAGTGGCAGGAAGGCAGCTCAGTTGCCTGCTAGAGCATGTCTGTCCACATGCTAATGGCCCTGGTAGGAAAACCAGCTAAGGAGTTTGGTGCTAGGAAGTCTCCAGGCGATTCCTGGAGATTTCCCAGAATGCCTTCCGGGAGCGTTCCCAGGATGCACCTGCGAGACGAACCGGGTCAAGGGGGTGGGGGTGAGGAGTTAACAAAAGTTCCTTGCCAGAGGAAGTTGCTCTCCCCCCCCTTGGAATGGTGCGCCGGGGACAACTTTGAGCCCCGGTCTGCAATCAGGCAGCCATCTTTTCCTGACCAGGTGGCCTCCCAGGTAATCATGGGATATAGACAGGAACCTTGTACCTTTTCGGGATCCTTAGCGCCTGCCCTATTTTAACATCAGTTAGGGCAGACATGTCGAACTCCGGATCTGACATAAATGTCACTTTGCCGTGTGTGCCCATAAAACGTAATGCCGGGTATTGGAGATACAAACTATATAAATGACAGCAGCTGGTAAGCTACGAGTTGGTATATTCTCACCGCAAGGCCCCCTGGGCTGGGAGCAGACTGGAGAGCCAGCAGTGCAGCCCTGGGCAGATGCTCCCACGCTGCATGACTGCTGCAGACGAGGTTGTTTCGCCATGCTGGAGCCACCATCGGAGTGACCCTGCCCACTTCCCTCCCTGAGCAGTCCCCTCCCGTGCACTAGTAGTTTGCAGGCTGCAGAAGAAGAAGAAGAGATTGGATTTATACCCCGCCCTTCACTACCTGAAGGTGTCTCAGAGCGGCTTACAAACTCCTTTCCCTTCCCCTCCCCCCAACAGACACCCTGTGAGGTAAAAGAAGAAGAAGAAGAGATTGGATTTATACCCTGCCCTTCAATACCCGAAGGAGTCTCAGAGCGGCTTACAAACTCCTTTCCCTTCCCCTCCCCACAACAGACACCCTGTGAGGTAAAAGAAGAAGAAGAAGAGATTGGATTTATACCCCGCCCTTCACTACCCGAAGGAGTCTCAGAGCGGCTTACAAACTCCTTTCCCTTCCCCTCCCCACAACAGACACCCTGTGAGGTAAAAGAAGAAGAAGAAGAGATTGGATTTATACCCCGCCCTTCACTACCTGAAGGTGTCTCAGAGCGGCTTACAAACTCCTTTCCCTTCCCCTCCCCCCAACAGACACCCTGTGAGGTAAAAGAAGAAGAAGAAGAGATTGGATTACCCCCCTGCCCTTCACTACCCGAAGGAGTCTCAGAGCGGCTTACAAACTCCTTTCCCTTCCCCTCCCCACAACAGACACCCTGTGAGGTAGGCAGGGCTGAGAGAGCTCTGACAGAAACTGCTCTTTTTCAAGAACAGCTCTTTTCAGAGCTACGGCTTGCCCAAGGTGCAAGTGGAGGAGTGGGGAATCAAACCCAGTTCTCCCAGATTAGAGTCCGCGCGCCTAACCACGCACCGAGTTAGTGTGAGCTAGCTCAGTTTTTTAGCCTCCAGCTCACAGATTGTTGTCTTAGCTCAGGAAGGACAACTTCGAAACAAACTAATTCATGCAGTACCAAAATCGCTTGCTCACAGCTTTAAATGCCGGTAGCTCGCAAAGTTTAATTTTTGCTTATGAGACTCCACAGCTTAGAGGTCACAGCCACGATCCGTTGCTCAGCCCCACGGCCCTGTGGAACAACAGCGTCTGGTGGGTTCTTCTGAATGCTCCCAAGGAAGCAACAGACGTTAACCTCTGCAGGCAGCCCATGCTGGAGCACTGAGACATTTGAGAACGTCCTGAATTGGTCTCTCCAATGAGAGTGGAGGCATGAAGTGTGCGCACGCGGCAGGAGACAACCGTTTTTTAAAATATGCCTGTATGTGAAGGGCAGAGTAGGGGGCAATGCTCCCTCTAAGCAGTGAGCAAGAATTTTACTTTGTGAGCTGCTGGCATTCAAGCTGTGAGCGAGCGATTGGGCTCCTGCATCAATTAGTCTGCTCCGCAGCCCTCCTTCCTGAGCAAAGGCAAAAATGGGGCTAAAAAACTGTGAGCTAGCTCACACTAACTCAGCTTAGAGGGAACACTGGTAGGGGTTGCTTATAGAATCATAGACTGTTAGAGTCGGAAGGGATCTTGCAGGTCATCTAGTCCAGCCCCCTGCGCTCTGCAGGAGCACAGCCGAAAGAGAGCCCTACATACCTACAACATACCCGAAAGATGGTCGTCCAGCCTCCGCTTGAGAACGTCCAGCGAAGGAGCATCCATCCACCCCCTCCCGAGCCCGTCCGTTCCACGGCTCAACCACTCTTACAGTCAGGAAGTTTCTCCTGATATTTAGCCGGTAACGACTCCCTTGTAACTTCCACCCATTGCAATCCGGAGCAAGAGAGAGAATAGATCCACTCCACCTTCTTCATGACAGCCCTTCAGATACTTGAAGACTGCAATCGTGTCCCCTCTACGCCTTCTCTTTCCCAGGCGAAACAGACCCAGCTCTTTCAGCCTTTCCTCGTAAGACTTGGATTCCAACCCTCTCCCCATCCTGGTTGCCCTCTCCTGGCAAAAAAAGAGCGTGCTTCTTCTGTGTGTGTGTGTGTGTGTGTGTGTGTGTGTGTGTGTGTGTGTGTGTGCGCTCTTGGAAGGCTCTCCCTCTTGTGTTAATGCTGTCTGGTGGCCCACGCAGTAGAGGTAGGCCGCCACCAACGTACATTTTTTTGGACTGCGCGAGTGAAGTCCCATCAAGTCAGAGCTGGCTTACGGTTTCAAGGCAAGACACATTCAGGGGTGGTCGGCTAGCAGCCGTGGACGTCCTCGGTGGTCTCCCATCCACTTACAAGCCAGGGCCGACCCTGCTCAGCTTCCGAGTTCTGACGAGATCGGGCTCGCCGGAGCCATCCGAGTCAGGGCGAGAGACGTTCGGAGGTGGCTTGCCTTTTCCTGCCTCCACGTCACGACCCCGGACTTCTCCGGTGGTCTCCCAGCCAAAAACCAGCCAGGGCTGACCACTGTTCCCTCTGAGCTGTGGAGTCTTATGAGCGACTGGCATTCAAGTTGTGAGCAAGCGATTGGGCTGCTGCATCAATTAGGTTTGCTCTGGAGCTCTTCCCGAGCGGAGACAAAAATGTGTGAGCCGGAGGCTAAGAGACTGTGAGCTAGCTCACACTCAGCTTAGAGGGAACACTGGGGCTGACCCTGCTTAGCTCCCAAGCAATGTTCCCTCTAAGCTTTGGAGTCTTGTGAGCGAAAATTCTACTTCATGAGCTACCAGCATCAAAGTTGTGAGCCAGCGATTTGGCTGCTGCATGAATTAGTTTGCTCTGGAGCCCTCCGTCCTGAGCTAGGGCAAAAATGTGTGAGCCGGAGGCTAAAAAAACTGTGAGCCAGCTCACACTAACTCAGCTTAGAGGGAACACTGCTCCCAAGGTCTAACGAGACTCAGCTGACCTGGGCTATCCAGGTCAGGGATATTTTTAGCTGCGAACAAAACGCAGGCGCTTGGTCGCGCGTCCCCTCTTTCGGCCCCGTCGTGTGCTGGCCGTAAAATCGCGGCTACCCGCAACACCGTTTTCTGATGCCCATCCACCCAACTTTTGACTCCCATCCCCCCCTGACAACGTTGTGGCTTCCGCCTCACCCCGTCGCTCAGATCCGCTGCTTTCTCTGCAGGCGCCGCTGCCCCTCAGATCGTCATCAACCCGGCACGGAGGCGCATGATGGAGCGGCTGGCACTCTACGCTGACGGGGCCCTCGACAGCATGGCTATACTTGCCTCTCTCTCCGTGGGGGAAGGTAACTTCCTACTCTGTGCCCACCCGCCGCTGCAGGGGGAGCCCCAGTTGGGCGAGGCAGTGTTCTGAAGGCTCCCGCTGGATTAGGAGAGGAGTCCCCAACGTGGCGCCCCTGGGCACCACAGCACCTGCTGACACCTTCTCTGGCGCCCGCCGAGTGTTTTTGGAAAGTAGGTGGGGCTTTTGCCCAACAGAGCTTCTGATTGGCCACTGGAGATTTGATTGGCCGTGCAGATTGAAAAAAAACAACACGTTTCTTCACTGTGTTCCCTCCCCTGGGCACCACAGCACCTGCTGACACCTTCTCTGGCGCCCGCCGAGTGTTTTTGGAAAGTAGGTGGGGCTTTTGCCCAACAGAGCTTCTGATTGGCCATTGGAGATTTGATTGGCCGTGCAGATTTAAAAACAAAACAAAACACGTTTCTTCACTGTGTTCCCTCAAAGCTGTGGAGTCTTGTGAGCAAAAATCGTACTTTGTGAGCTGCTGGCATTGAAGTTGTGAGTGAGAGATTTGGCTGCTGCATAAATTGGTGTGCCCTGGAGCTCTCCCTTCCTGAGCTGAGACGAAAATGTGTGAGCCGGAGGCTAAAAAACTGAGCTAGCTCACACTAACTCAGCTTAGAGGGAACACTGGACTGAAGGTAAGTTGTAGCAGCCATTTTGTACCTGGCTCTGCCTCCTGTGGCAGCCATTTTGTGGCTGCACTCACCACACTGTATCAGAATTCCAAAGGTGCCCACGGGCTTTAAACAATTGGGGGGGGGGGCTGGTTTAGGGCATGGAATACAAGAAGGGCGGTTCCAGCCACCGTTGCTTTTCCGTGTGCTTAGCTTTCCAAGACTTGAGCCTCTTACCCTTGACAGCAGCTGTTCTGAAGGAAGCAGGAGTGTACTTGCTTCCACTCATGCCTCACTTGGCCCACAGGATGCCATGTTCACACAGGGCTGTACACCCTATGCACACAGCATCAGAACATAAGAGAAGCCAATGTTGGATCAGGCCAATGGCCCCTCCAGTCCAACACTCTCTATCGCACAGTGGCCCAAACCCAGGGGCCATCAGGAGGTCCACCAGCAGGGCCAGATCTCCAGAAGCCCTCCCACTGTTGCCCCCCAAGCACCAAGAAGAAAGAGCATCACTGCCCCAGACATAAGAACGTAAGAGAAGCCATGCTGGATCAGGCCAATGTCCCCTCCAGTCCAACACTCTGTATCGCACAGTGGCCAAACCCCAGGTGCCCTCAGGAGGTCCACCAGCAGGGCCAGAACTCCAGAAGCCCCCCCACTCTTGCCCTCCCAAGCACCAAGAAGCCCCAGAGAAAAGAACGTAAGAAGCAGGAGTGTGCTTGCTTCCAATCATGCCTCACTTGGCCCACAGGATGCCATGTTCACACAGGGCTGTACACCCTATGCACACAGCATCAGAACATAAGAGAAGCCAATGTTGGATCAGGCCAATGGCCCCTCCAGTCCAACACTCTGTATCGCACAGTGGCCCAAACCCAGGGGCCATCAGGAGGTCCACCAGCAGGGCCAGATCTCCAGAAGCCCTCCCACTGTTGCCCCCCAAGCACCAAGAAGAAAGAGCATCACTGCCCCAGACAGAGTGTTCCATCTGTGCCTTGTGGTTAAGAGCCACTCGTGGACCTCTGCTCCTGTTTGCTTCAATCACTGCCCCAGACAAAAGAACGTAAGAGAAGCCAATGTTGGATCAGGCCAGTGGCCCATCCAGTCCGTGTCACACAGTGGCCAAAACCCAGGGGCCATCACAAGGTCCACCAGCAGGACCAGAACTCCAGAAGCCCTCCCACTCTTGCCCCCCCAAGTACCAAGAACACAGAGCATCACTGCCCCAGACAGAGTGTTCCATCTGTGCCTTGTGGTTAAGAGCCACTCGTGGACCTCTGCTCCTGTTTGCTTCAATCTTGTGCTAATGGCTGCTAGTCTCGGCGGAGATCTACTCCTTCCCGTATGAGAGCCCGTGTGCCTCTTTAAATCTGTTGCTGTGGCAGTCATCCTGTTGTGGATCTTCTAGAGGCAGCCGGTTGGCCACCGCACAAGCGGAATGCTGGACTGGATGGGCCTTTGGCCAGATCCGGCAGGGCTCTTCC